AATACATAAAAATTTATTAATATTTTGAAAAAAGTTTTATAATAAAGTTTATAAAATATGTTTTTAAGAATATATTTAATAAGCAAACTATACCTCATATTATTAATAAATTATTATTTTATTTAAAAAATACTAAATATAATTTAATTTTTCAGGCAAATTTGCCTGGAATATGGTTTAAGAAATGTTAAATATAAAAATATTAATACTGCCTAGTTAGAAAGTGCAAGAATATTAGTACTGCCTTTTTGCCTTAAGAACTTATATGCACAATTCTAATATGACTAAGACCTTCTGTAACATTATTATTATATATAATACTTACTGTATATTCCATAATTAAGTCTTCTTCCAAGAATTTCCTTTTCCAAATTTGTACATGCACTTGGACTTATTCTACGTACAAAACTTTGCGTTTGAATATTTGGCTTTTTAAGATTACAGAATCTAAACCAGTTTTGCCTCTGACCTATCTTGAACTTTAAACTTGTCTGTGGAATCTGGAAGCTTAACCGCTAAGCTATAAGACTTTTTTTATTTATTCTATAAAAAAGTTAATCTGCATTTTCTAATCCATAAGTATTACATATTTAAGAAATTTATACCTTTAAAGAAAATAAGAATATAATAGAATATTTAAATAAAATTGCTTATAGGATAACAGAAATTTGAAGGAGAGATTTTTTTAAAAAGTTATAACAGTTAAAAATACGAACATTTGAAATTTGGCGTTTAATATAAATTTCTATAATTTTTTTTTGCCAATATATATATATTTTATTAGAAATTTAATTGTTTGAAAGTTGGCGCTTTTACGTACTAAAAAGCGAATATCTTACACTGCCCCAACCAATAACATGTACATGTATACCTCTTCCTTAAGTACTCGGGTACAGTGCTAGCCGCTGCAAATACCCGTCAGCAGTTTATAATAACTTATGGTTTAATGGTTTGTTTTGAATGGTTTTTGTCGTCAATTCCAACAAGCTCAAACTTGCCAAAATAGCTGAAGTGATTTAAATCTTTACTTGCCTCAGAATCAAATGATTGGATTTCGGTTGTTAAAATTATCTCATCGAAGTGGCCACTTTGGTAACAGAATCATCCATTCGATCAAGAGTTATTTACTGTGAAAAATTATGCATTTATATGTTAATTCCTTAAATTCGTGGATATGCCTTACAAATAAATCTTTTTTGAAATAATTATAATGATTTTACATTTTATCATTAATTCTAATTACTATTATATACTATTTTCCCTATATAATAAAGTATTTAAAACTAATTATTAAAACAAGTTTTTTGAAATATTAAAAAAAAATACAAGAATCTTAATGATATTGAAGGGAATACTACTTTTGCCTGATATTAAAATCTATGAATTGTCCAAATCCGTGTACTGATATTAATGCCCTTTAAGATACATTATTATTGTGACGGTTTTGCATTTTGTTGAGCTTAACCACCTTAGGTGGTTTTAGCTCTGGGTAAATGTAGCTTTTTATGAACCCTTCTTGCATCTCATTTGAATTTTCTTCCAGAGACTTGTTTCCTGTCTCCGGAACCAGAAAAGAAAATAGAAAACCGATAAAGGCGGCTAATGCGAAAAATTCTAATAGACGATCGAAAAACATATTGGTTCCGCCTATGTCTTTAAGTAATAAGACCATTATTTGTGATACGATTGCACCAATTTTGCCAGAGGCAGCTGATATACCATGGCACAAACAGCGATAACGAGTTGGAAATACTTCACCAGGTATGATAAAAGTGGTTGTATTTGGGCCAAAGTTTGTGAAGAACTATTATTATAAAACAAGAGATGAGAAGTTAACGAAATTGTTGTGTATGTTACAAAAAAAAAAAAAATATGGTGCTGGAAGTATCGTAGTATTTTACAACTGTTCTCATAAATTCTGAGATAAACTAAACATCTAATCTTTTCGATATTGTTATAAGACAAACTCTTCAGAAACTACGTCGCTAACTTTATCCCATAATTTCAGAAAAGTTTGATGATTTTTGAGGCAAGCAATTTTTTTACAGCTATTTTCATAAATTCTGGACCAACTAAAAATTTGCTTATTTCCCAAATCACCCCTGGAGACAGATGTTATTTCCGATGAGTTAAAGAAATTTCGAGAAACAAACGAATGTTTAACTTGTTTCGGAATTTGCTCTAATCTTTCGACTTTATATGAACAGTTGTAGCCGACTAAAGCAGAAAATACAAATATTCGGCTTGCTAATTATTATGCATAAGCTAGTTTGAGACAATCACAGCTGTCTTTATAAATTCTAGGTAGGGTTGTCCTAAAGTATTGATATCGGTAGTCAATTTAAAAACCGGGCAGCAGCAACTCTGTAGTTTAACGTTATCGGACAGTCTTTGAAACTTTCAATGAGTTGAACAATTTCCCCGAAAAGTTCTGCGCATAAACCAGCTCTCGAAGTTAGATGTAACTTTTATAATAAAGTTGACTTTAAGGTTAGATTAGAGAACAGTGTATACCAATTTTTCATAATAATTTCACGCTATGCAATTTAATTTGTTACGCAGAATTTTTCGGAGTGTTCTTGCGGCACCGTATAGCACTGCATATAGTATCCCCTTGAAAAAGTATCCCATTTAATAGTATTGGGGTATTATTCAATTGTAAATCCTCCTAACATTTTTGAAAGCATCCCGGTACTAATCAAGAAGCCTGTTATACAATCAACTCATACGATTAATACTCTCTTCAGTATATCCCCCTGTATAGTATCCCCCTCTTCACACAGTACCCCAGGGGTATTATTTAATTAATCTTGGATTTCTTGTAAAATACCGGGGGACTGTATGCAGCGCTGTACAAGAGTTGTTTTGAACTGCTATTTACATGATTTTCTGGTATATATGGGTGTCGTAGGTTTTTCCTTGCGATTCATGTATATATGAAAATAAGGACACACATACCATCGATATTATAAAAAGGACCACAAATATGGCATGATATTCTTGGGTAGTAATAACCGTATACGAGAACCCAATGACCAAATAAAGAATTGTTAGGACCGAGAATCCCATTAATTGGATGAATCTTCGTCCCAATCTATCGATTAACAAAACGCTACACCAATATCCTGGTATAGTTCCTAATACTGTCACAACTACACTACCGATGGCACTATTAAATAAATTTTGATACGGTTCCTGAGACTTCGTTAGGTTTGTTGTTGCGTTCATGATTATTCCTTAATTTAAGAACGGTAATAGCCACTCAATACGAATAAGTTAGCAATAAAAATATTGGGAAGTTTCAAGATCAGTGGACCCAGCGATATTTTCGTGATAATTACATCACATGATTAAACACTCAGCATAAATTAGGGTAGGTTTTAGGGTTAGATGATAGTATATCTTAGGCCGATTTGTTAGTGCTGGTAAACCAATGACGTAATTGCGTTATTTCACGTGATGTGATGATCACTGGGTCCATTGATCTTGAATATTCATTTCTTACCTTGATTAAAACTAATGCCATAGAAGGCTACGTCGATGGCAAACCATGTGACGCAGGTACTTATTAGGATTTTTGCATTGTGCCACTTTCCAAAGTATTCTGTTTGATAAATTATTTTAAATATAAATAAATACGACCATGTTTAATATTTATCTTTTCAGTAATTACCTCTGAAATCCTTCCACGAGGCTTGTGGTGTTCCAACCAAATAAAACGCTTCAACTTCATTGTCTTTTACTTTATTATTATCACTATTGAGCAGGATTTCTACACTTTTGGCACCTTTTTCAATATTTCCACACACATCCATAATGTAACGGGGTGATTCAGGGTTTGTTATTCTAAAATAGAGAACCCCGATGGCCGGAATTGCGCCGACAGCAACGACGATTCTAAATAACCCAATGAAATTTTGTGTTCAAAATAAAAACTTAAAATGTAAATAAAATTTCATACTCAAAATAAAAGCTTAATATAATAAATTTTCATACCTCCAAACATAGTCAAGATAACGAACATCCTCTTTAATATGGGATTCGAAGACCTTTAGAGTTATCATGGTGATCAACGCTGCAAACAAAATACCGAATCCTTGCATTGCGAAAACCAATGCCATCATTGTTCCCCTTCTTTTCTTTGTTGCAAATTCGCTGGTAAGGACTTAAAATAGTAAAGATTATAAATATGTTTGAAATAATTTGAATAATTTTAAATAAAATAATAATATATAAAATTTTTGAGTATCATTAAGAGAAAAGAATAACTTTAAATATTATTAAAAATATTTTGATTTAGATTTCTTAACAAATAATCATAAAATAGTCATTAAGATACCTTTAACCAAAATTTATAATAAAGTTTAAAGTTATTCTTTTTTTTTGACAATATTTGTTTAATAAAAAGTTTGAAAAATTTTTTACTGATTCATGAAAATTTAGAGATTCAATTGTACAAAAAAAAATAGAACAAAATCAATTACCAGCCGAGAGGGGATAATCTCCTCCAACTCCTATACCCAAGATAATACGCCAAAATATAATTCCGGTAAACATGCTCATAGAAAAGGAATTTGCAGCGAGAGCTAAAGTTTTGAGATGTTTATTATTTAAAATATAGATTAATAAAGTAGTTTTGCTTGAAATATTCCTTACCTGTTCCTGCAGAGGCAGCAATCATAATCGAGAGTTCAATTCCATACACCTAACATAAACAGATAACTTCCAGTTTGGTGATATTTATATGCAAATAGGTTTAAAAAATTCAAATTTACTTTTTTACGACCATATCTATCAGCCATCCACCCGAAAAATAACTGTCCAATAACATTTCCTATGGCAGCCGAAGTCTTTATGCCGGTATCCAGATTTGTGGGAACAGAATTATTATTAGAAGAATAATAGGCATACCCAAGTATGTTCGAGACCAAATTAATGACGAACAGATCGTATGCACTAGTAAGAAATCCTAAACCTGCAATCACACAGGCTCGAACATGAACCAACTTAATTGTTGAGTCGTCAAGTTCTGATAGGGCATTACGGCGTTTTGTGTCTAATTCAACAAACTTGTCCTGGGGTTTTTTGGACATTATTTACTTTGAATTTAATGAAAGTGTAAATTTAGATTTTCGCTATTATTTTCAATATCTAGTTCTTTAATGAAGGTATGAATTGAGAATTACGTTATAAATTTTTCAGTATCTAAGGTTTTTTAATGAAGGTGAGAATTTCGTTATAATTTTTTAGTATCTAAAGTTCTGAAGTTTCCATTAAAAAGCATTCTAAATCCTTAAAGAAAGATAAATAAAAAATAAAAAAATAAAAAAGAAAAGAAAAAAAAGACGGGAAAACCTTAGCTTTAAAGATGTAAATAATTCTTAATATTTATTGTGACAACTAGGTACGTATCAACATTTTTAATTTCCCAAATAAGGTACCGTTGTACTATACTTTATACTACGTATACTATATCAATATATGTACGTATAATGGTCAACATACATAAAAGATATGGTTGTTTAGATGTATTCATACATAAAAACTTTAAATAATCCGTTTATATGTGGTAGCGTTCAAACGGGTCTGTTCATTGAACCAATTCTTGCCTGCTCATTGAGACACTATTCATATAGTAATTCACTTAGTCTACTTTTCGAAAATCGAAGCTAATGCCAAGTTTTGCACATTGTTGATCACAAACTAATATTTAGAGCGGGGTGGACCGTTGTTACATATAATACCTGAGTCACATGATGAATGGAAAATCTTTATAGAGCGTCCCTTTAAAGAATAGATTGCCAGCGACACCAAATTCATAGTATGTATATCCTTGTCAAACAATCGTTTTGTACGATATATTAGGTAGGATTACGTAACGGTAAAGTTTCGCAAGAAACTTTTTTATTAATTGGATTGCCTCAAATTAAGTCATATTAGGTTAGATCATATTTAGGTTGACCTCCTAATTCTGACCGAATGATCATCATGGCTGACACCCTAATTTCGGATAAGTGTACCCGATGTTGTAATTCTACCAATTTATGATGTATCTTTTATATTAAGGACAAGTCTGTTAGAATCACTACTTGAGGTATAGGTTATAACTTTTACAAGATTAATACGGTTACGGTACTTGCCGTATTATTTGCCTTAATGCCATATTGCAATAATATAATGCAGTATTACTGATATCTTATGCTGTAAAAATAAATATTTGGAAGAGGAGGTACAATGAATGATTGGGAAGGGTAATAAAAGATTGAAAAGGGGCAGATTGATAGGCATCCAGATATACTTGCTGGCAAAATGACCAAATTCAAAAAAACAATTGCTGTTTAATGAAAAAAATAACTTTAAAAATTTTCCAATATATTATATAATTTGAATAAAGATTATTAATAAAATTTTTGAGATATGAATTTGGCCAGAGTTTGGGATTTGGATGTGGACAAACTAATTTTATAATAGTTTGGGATTTTGCGAACAAGTACACATCCAGATAATGCTAGTCGAAATACCCTATTAAGTCAAATATTTAGACAATTTTGTGTCGAAATATATTTTGACATGACATTTGACTAAATGTCTAAATAGTTAACTAAATAAATATTATATGTCTAAATGTCTAAATTAATGATAGAGAGGGCTTGTACATTAAAGTAACTGATTTTTGAATTGATAGTAATCCAGATCCAAGTTACAAACTTTCCAACATAGCGATAGTGAGAAAATTTTCAAGTAGGGAAGTTTATATAATTCAGCTCGGTTATTTATTTTAAGATATTGATATGGCATGAAATCCACAAAATAACAAGTTCGGATACTTGCTAATAAATAAGTTTATATATATTTTTAATTTAGACATTTTGACATTATTTAGAAAATTTTAAATAATTTAGAATTTCGGCAAACTAAGACCATACAAACTTAATAAGTTGGTTCTCATAACATAAAAAATTTAAAAGTGGCCCAGTAACCCGGCTTTTAATTTTATTTTCAAAAAATTATATATATAAACTACATACATAAAATTTTTATAGCTTTTTTTTTTTTGAAAAACTCATCCAGATAATAAATATACTTAAAATTTTTCAAGTTTTGTAAAATTTGATCCGGCCGGTTATGAGAACCAATTTATTAAGTCTTTATGACCTAACACTATCGAATGTCAAAATATTTTTACAAGATCAAAACAATTTGGCTAACAACATTACATCCAGAACATATGGGCTGCCGTCAATAGAAGTCAGATTGACATTTTTTAAAAAAATCAATGCTTACTTTTCACAGCTCATATCTCGATGAATTTTGAAGCTAATTTAATTATTCAATAGCCAAAAGAAAGCTTAGATCTCAAGCTTTCTTTTAATATTAAATAATCAAATTAGCTTCTAAATTCATCAAGATATGAGCTGTGAAAGGTAATGTCAATCTGCCTGATTTCTATTGACGGCGGCCCATATGGTGTGCCGTAGTAGTTGATTATGAATTAGATTCTTAAAGAACAAATTTTTACCATATTTCTTAAGCAAAAATACGTTACATAGTCAAATCATAAAAGCTCATAAGTTTTGTAATATTTAATATAATATCCATACTCTGAATTTACCATTACCCGTAATTTTAAGAGATAAATCACAGTTAAAGAGTATAAAATAGCAAATTTAATAGTAGAAATGGTCGAAGGTTAATAGTTTTTCTATGGAGGTGGAAGACGGCTAGCTTACAATGAAAATTTTTTATGCCAAGTAAATTCTTCTTGAGTTTCTAATAAATACTATGGAGCAAGTTACTCTGATTCTAATGGTGGTAGAATTATTAAAATTGGTTCAGTAGTCGCGAGTTATTGTATTTTCACCTTCACAATTCGAGCTATTAGCATTTTCACAACTATATAATTTTTAATTATTTTTGAACCCGGTCTAATTTTATAACGTTTTTGGTTTGGATTCAAAAATAATTACCCATATCGATATACGTAGGGCACGAACCTAGCATGACCACCAATATGACGATTTCTGTATTATATATTAATACGTAAATAATCTGAAAAAAGAAACTTGATTTTCTTTTTTCCATATCTAAATATCAAAGAAAATTTTTTTTGCTATACATCAAAAATCAGCAATAAAAAGATCTGTATTGAACAGTTAAAAAGGGCATGATTCAGGGAACGCAAGGCGTGATAATTTTTTAAAAAAGTGGGAAATCTTAATACACATACTATCGAAAACACAGAAAAATGTCAATAGATAATAGCAGTTCATATTTCTTTGTTCTTATTTTTTAATAAGCAGATTTTTTTTTTATTGATCCTCTTAGAAACTGGATGTTTATTTCTTCGAAGGTATATTTATTTATTACACTTTGATTTCTTGGTATGAAAAAAGTGTTCAACATAATTCTTTATTTAGGCAGTAAATGTATTTTATTTAGGCAGTAAATGTATTTTATTTCTTCTATTCCATGTTTCTGGAAGACTTTTCGCATGCTTCTATCATTTATCATTTTTTACAAGTTTATAATCAAAAGATTTTTCAAGATTATGTGTATATTCAATAACCTCTATATGAACAAAGTGTAATTATATTATACATCGTAAAGGGTCTTTTTTATAATTTTCTGCACTTAAGTCTTAGCATCTTCATCGCCCGCTTCAACTATATTATTATATTTAGAAATAGTTGAATTCGTATTCAAACAATCAATTGGCATAAGAGAATAATCGATTTCATTGAATCTAAACTATTAGAATTTTAATTAATGGGTTGTTTAAAGTATTTCTATAACAATAAACACTTTCGATTATATTAATAGGATAGAATATTATTAACTTGGAATTTCGCTTTTTTTATTGAACCATTTTTTATTTGGTTATGTGTTCAATATTATAATCGTCAGAATTCGGAAATCAAAATTTTAAACACAGATACGTAACTGATCTTGGTGGTCATGCTAGGGTCGTTATACGTAGGGTGTAATTTTGCAAAATCTTCGGTAAATGCAATAATGACTGAACTTTTGTAAAGCTGGGTACAATATAACGTGATATGTAAGTTACATGAAGTTTGATTTACTGAAAATTACATAAAATTACAGGTATTGTAAAATTGTAAAATGTAATTTTCAACCCTAGCCAGAAACTTTCAGCATTCTGACATATGAAAGTAATAGTAATTCATCGCCGATTTTTACTATGAAATTTATATGACGTTTTGCAGAAAGGAGTAACACTGATTTTCGTGATGATGATGTCGGAGAATTTCAAAGACTCTAAATTGCCTATCGATCACATTTTTTTTTCAATCGGCCTATCGATCATATTTTTCAATCAGTGAATCTATATTTATTGAAATTAGAAATTAAAAAAGGAGAGGGTGAAACCCGCGCTGTAAATTAGTAAAACCCGCTACGTAGATCACCTTAGGGTGAAATGAAGATCAAAAATTTAGCCTGAAATCGCGAACGCCCAAATGTTCCTGGGCTAATTTTACCATCGGACAGGTCCAAACGACCGGGGTAAAATCGCCACCCAAAAAAGTTTCGAAAATCATGTATTGATTAAAATATTAACGTTAACATAATTGATTTATTAAGTGATTTTTTTTCTTCGATTCTTTAAAGTGAAAAGCGATCGTTAAAAGCATAAACTCCAATAAACATATTATTCGAAAAATACGTATATGTTGATTGCCGTAACCAAATTTCCATTATCAATAAACGAAAAATCGAAATAAAATTATAAAAACTAATTAAGAAAATGCAATTGGGCCAGAAATTTTGTAGATTTTATTTTTAATGCTCTTCCGGAAGATTATACAGTCAAACCTCTCTATAATCACACCCCTCGGAATAAATATTTGTGTGCTTATGAAAGGATTTTTACTAGAGGTTTTTTTAATATGTTTATATATAATTGGTTTCTAAATAAATGTGCTTATAAAGAGGTTTTTTATATGATGTGCTTATAACGAGTGTGACTATAGAGGGGTCTGACTGTAGTTCTGATGAATCCAGGATGCGGCAACAAAAAATCATTAAAGAAAACAAATAGTAACAAATGGCTCGATAGTATTAATAAAAACTTTAT